GTGCAGGCGAGTTTGTGTGAAATTTCCGGATCATAGGAAATCCTATATAAATGCAAACATGTGACTTTATTGCTGATCGTAAATTTCGATTTTCGATTTCCGAAATGTACACCGGAATAAAATCCGATCACTCAAAACATAATAAGTACGGAAATTTCACTACAAATTCGTCTGCATGGTTGACGCATGGGTGACGCACGGGTGACGCACGAATGCCGTAGGGGTGTTGCATAGGAGAACACCCCCCATGTCTTTTATTTCGGGTAAAAAATGTTGTCATATGATGCAACATTAGATAGCTGGGACACGTCACTCTAGTATAAATAGAGGTAACTTAACAGAGATTAAATTAAAATCTTTCAAATTAGGGATGTGCGATTGATGTTGTCAAAAGAAGTAAAATAATTAACTTACCTGATCCGAAGAGGAAAAGTGATGAGATTTGTCTAAGAGAAACAGACAACGAAAAGAGAAGGAAGGTTTATTAGTAAAAAACTCAGCTGAACAAAATCATATGCCTTAAGTAGAGAAGCCAAAAACTTAACTGACGTTACGCGAGAATAGCTCTGGAGAAGCGACAGACTCGCCAGGGGAGACGTCAACAATTTGGTGGTGACTATGAAATACGATGTCTCGTTACCTCCTCCGACAACAAGGATTGCACCAATTGTAGAAGCAAAGTCCATGTAGTCAAACTCAATTAAAAACCAACAAAACAAGAATTATTCAAAAACAGGACCTTCGTGGGAATCTTTGATTCTATGTTCGTTATCCACTCCCCCAAGAAGAATCGCGACACCTGAAAAACTGAATACTCAAATTAACCATTACCCTCCGAAAATTACATATCTTTCGAAAAAAATAAAATAAAATCTTACCTTCTTTAGAAAACACATGATTTGTTCAAGATCCGCCTTGATTATTAATCAACTGGAAATCGTAGAGTACGTGGATAAAAAAACTCTCCGTACCCCTTTACGTCGTAATGCCCGGAAAGAATTAAAAAACGCCGTCACTGTTCCACGAGGAACAAGGACGAAAAGAACCAGGGAAAAAGAAAGTCGTTATGTTAAGCCACCTAAATTTAAGGCGAACCAGGAGAAGAGTCGCGGATATGGGTAGAACGTTACAACCAAGCCGCCGACTGCAACAACTGGATGGATGTTGAGAAGTTGGATAAAGTAGTCAGTTATTTGGAGGGAATTGTGCTAGAATGGTATGATAAACACCAGCACCGTTTCATCTATGAGGAGAGTTTCGTACTGGCATTCGTTCACCATTTTGAAATGATCGAATGACGGCGCCAATGGCAAACGGAGTTGAATAACATTAAGCAAAAAGATGGCGAAAAGATGCTCGAGTACGGTCAAAGGTTCCAAAAGTTACTCAAGGTCTACCCTACCACAAAGAAGCGGTTGAATGGGTAATTGCACTCAAACTCAGGAATGACATATTGGCCGTATCTGTCGTCAGAAACGCAACTGCTCCGAGAGAAGCACTTAAAGCGGCAATAAAATCCAAGGTTAATGCCGAAAAAGATGCAAAAAAAAGAAGAGGGTTAGGGGCATCGGACATGAAATCCAAGTGGTGCGTCGAATGTGGAAAGGAGGGTCGCTGTGTTAAAAATTGTTCGATGAAAAACAGCCCTATCAGGAAGGTACCTGCAGAAATGCTGAAAGTGATAGCGGAAGTGAGGAAGGGAGCCGTCAATCTAGGTGCCACGGGTTATTCCGGAAAAGCGAGAACAGAAAAGGGAAGGTTGTGCCAGAGTCGAAAATGATGAGGAAGGGCTATCCTAGAACCAGGATGAATTCTCCAGCCCAAGAATCTGAGTGCGACGATGATGACATACCTTCACCTAAAAAAATGAATGTTTGGGAAAACCAGCATGCGGATAAAGGATCCGGTCTTGAATGATGATGAGACCGGAAGTGACAGTGAAAGTGTAGAAGAAGGTCACCATACTAAACGCTTTGGCTTGTTCAGAAAAGATAAGGGCACGAAAGGAAAGATTGCACCAAGTCGGGTCCGATACAGGGGAGTTATCTGAGAACTAATTCGAAACCCGAGCCTCGAAAGTTGAGACGTATTAATGATGACGTGGTATCATCAAAAAGAACTACGAGTGTAGTCACTGTTAAAGAGCGGGGAATCGTCGCAGAAGGTCTAACCAAGGTTTCGATCCAGAATAATGAAACCAATATGGTACATGCTGACGAGATCGACCACAGAAAACGACTCCGCAGAACGAATGTTCGATTAAGATAGAAAAATCAAAAGACTGTGAGAAAGAAGGTGAACCAGAAGGACGTTTAGGGATTCGCAAAGAGAAAGGAAGAGGTGTAATAATACAGCACGACCGGAAATCCTAGATCCCACAACGTATTCCTCCAAATTGAGAGAAACGTTGATAATGATCAAAGAGAATTCCGACAAAATCGATGGAACTGAGAAGGAAAAGGGTGAATTAGGAAGACGGTTGAAAATTTGTAAAGGGACAGGAAAGAGGAGTAATAGTTCTGGGCCCAATTATGAAACGCGACCAAAGATCTCAAATGCTATCATACAACCCTCCCAACCGGGAGGAACGTCGATGAAGGCTAGGAATGATTTAAAAACGGTCAATGAAACAGAGGAAATCTCCCTCTTCAAGAATGTATTCTACGAACCCAGTTTCAGTATTGAATCACACCCCATCATCTCAGATCTCGATGTACAAATCTAAGAACCAACGATGTCACGTGATGATGCTCGGGAAGAGATGGTTAGAAGAAATCAAGAAAGTTGAGTCAGAATGAGCAAACTGAGACAATATTAGTGGAAGGACCGGACGTTCCGATAACGAGTGGGAATTACAGGCGACGCCAACAATTTGGGAGAATCAAGACAAGGTCGATAAAATTGGAATTGACCCCGAAATAGAAAAGGAATCAGCAAGGGAGCTCCCAGAGGATAAACAAAGTTCTTCTATAGAAATACTCAAGGGTTAGGATTCGAGAATAGTGTTGCACACGAGCAATACCAATAGTGTATCAGTCAAGCAAAAGGTATGTTAAAGCAAGGAAAAAATGACTGAAATGAAACAATATCAGTAATCACTTGGAGAATGCATGCATCCGGAGATGATTCATACAAATTATGCAATATCCCTGCAGCGTGGCAAAGATGGAGGTGTTCATGAGATTAGCACTCCGCATGATGATCATAAGTATGACGGTCCAAATGAGTTTTCCTAAGAGAGGGCTACTAATCGATAATATTATCGGAAGGAACATATTACACCCTGAGTGCGATATAGTGGTGTGAAATCATGATGATGTCTCGATTAATCGTGATGAGCAACAAGTCAGACATGACATACAGGGAACCATCAGCGGAAAAATGGCATCAATAACAACGAAGTGGGCACACGCATATAGGGCACAGCTAAACTTCGCAGCGTCTTCACGTTATGGCAACATGCAATAAATGCAACAAGTGTGAGAAAGATGGCAATAGTTTATTTTAATGATGTGTTTGCTATAAAGAGGTTTTATACGATGCGGGAGTTCAAGGCATGACTAATCCGACTCGTACCGAACAACACTGACCTCTATATGTGGCATGCATCCCGAAAACCAGAATGTTGTGGATGAAAAAACAAATAGGTTGGGAATCTGATACGTGAATAGCTCAACCCACATCGGGTGCCATCGGAGAATCTGTAGCACGTGACCACGAGGGATCAGGATCACCAACTCTGCGAAGATGAATAATTTCTTGCTTGAGGCTGATAAAAAAATCGTTAGTGATGGAATAAGACAACGCAATAAGGAGAAGAAACTTAAAAAAGCAGTGTTAACGTTTGTTAGTCATGCTACAAGTCAAGAAGCTGATAACATATGCTGCCAACCCCTATTACCCTAGAGCTAAAAAGAGGCACCGAAATAGTAGACGAAGGGTTAGAAGGATAATCGTGAATTTGTAAAAAATCACATGCCTCAAGTAGAGAAGCCAACAACTTACCTGACGTTATACGAGAATTGCTCCGGAGAAGCGACAGACTTGCCAGAAGAGACATCAACAACGCGTTATATAAGGGAAAAATACGCGTTTTTTACGATTCTTTTACTTTTTCTTGTACCTCAACAAATCTATATTTTCTTCCCGGTACGAAGAACTAATGTCTTATTTGACACAACATAAAAAATCTTTTTGGAGCTTCTTACTTTGCCATCATTGCCCTGATTCCCGTTGGCATAATCTTGATAACTCCTAGACATTAAATTCATAACAGAAGCGAGAAAGTTTGGCGAAGACCTAAGCAATAAGGTGTGCATTTTTTTATTTTGCAAGGTTAGAGAGAGTGACTTCTAGTTGGACCACTACACGTGCACTGTCTAGGAGAACTACCGAGTATGAACGCTTGGTAACCATTCCAAGTCCTCTATTCAGGCATCCAAACTTTATCGTTGGTAAAGGTTTGCTGATTCTGGAGGAGAAATAGATTATGTGTCTTCCTTTTGGGCATGCTGATTCTTCTATACTATAAGGTTCGTCTTAAAGCATTTGATTTTGGCATGCTCTTTATCACTAAATAAAAAATTACACACTATTAACAAATACTTTTCATACAATAGGTTAATTCAGAACAAGAATGCCGTGCGAAAAAGTTCGATCATTGGATCAATGTAATTAAGGAGTGTAAAATAGTAAGTAAAATGACTTATTTAGCATTAAATTAGCTTTATTATTATTCATTATTATTTTTCTGGAATTAGAAACAAGAAATCATGGAGTATGAAATAGAAAAGGAGAAAGTTCTGAACGAAATCATTATGAAATTAAAACAAAACAAGCAACTGGGAATGGGATCTAATCCTGGACATGAAGATAACGTAATGATGAAGATGCCGAGAATAATGATGATAATATCGGCAATATTGGTGATTATGGCAATGATGGTGATATAGGCGATATTGATGACTATGACGACTATGGCAATAATGACAATAGTGGCAATATTGTCAATGTCAGTGAAGAGAACAATGATACTTGAACATGTAAACAAAAAACATCAAAAAATAATCAAGTTACTACTTTGGGGTGCAGAAAATGCTCCCCGTGCGTCACTCGTGCAGGTATGCTTTCGGGTGAAATTTCCGAATTATGTTTATCTTATGTGTGGATCGTGATCGACGATGGTAATCGACACGTACCGAATTTTGCAAATCGCCGAGAAATTTTAAATAAATCTCACAGAACCATTGTTATTCTAATATAAATTAAGATAAAATTTTTTATTATAGAATTATAATAATTTATCGAATATTTATAAGTTTATTGCAAATCGAAAATTTCAATAATTAAAAAAATATTTTATAAGCATAAAATTAAATTAATCACTGAGTCAATCATGTGATGCATATACAGTTCTCCTCAATAAATAAAGGATTACTTAAGAATTATTATAATTAAATGGACATAGTTGTCATATATTAAACTTTTTATTTTATTAATAAAAACAATTTTTATGTATTAAGTAAACTTATTCTTTATAATGATTTC